GTGCGTGCGTGGGGGTGCATGCATGCATGCGTGCGTGCGTGAGGGTGCATGCATGCATGCATGCATGCGTGCGTGCGTGAGGGTGCATGCATGCATGCGTGCGTGCGTGGGGGTGCATGCATGCGTATGCTAAACTACGTTGCTTCATATCTTCGCGCAAATGGATGATGTAATAAGAGTTGTTGTTATTCCACATGGGCGGACTTCCAACACACAGTCTCCCTTGTATGTTGCATGTACGGGCCACTGCCCAGAATGTGTCCGTTATAGACAGGTATATGGACAGGAAATGTGTCCTTTATAGACAGATGTCCGTTCTACGGAGGTGGTTTCACCGTGTAACCATCAACGGAAACTCTTAGGCCATCCTTAAAAAATTATATGTTTGCTGTCCTCCGACCGACCCACGAAAATAGCCGCGACCCAAGTTTTTTTGACATTTTGGGTTCCATTATTTTATTTTTATTTTTAACATTCCTCATGACTGAAACACAAAGCATGCTTGGCAAACATGAGGACAGACTTAAAATAACTATTATGCCTCACACACAAAAAAAGACCTACCTACGTACCCACTAAAAAAATCATGGGTCGGGGGGGGGGAGTGGACAGTAAACATAGATTTTTTTAAGGATGGCCTTATAAGTTCTCTTCACGGACACGTGTCTGTCTGTTCTACGTACTAGGTTTCTACTAAACTAACACAGGTTAGGCTGAATTAGGGCGTGTACATTTCCACGAATAACCGAGGCGGGAGCATTTGCATGCTGTACACTGCGGTCTACAAACACACACACGCACGCACACACACACAAACCCGCACGCACGCACGCACACGAACCCACGCGCGCACAAAAACGCACGAATGAACACACGCATACACATACAAATGCACGAACGCACACACGCACGCACGCACACGCACACGCACGCGCACACACATACACACACACGCACGCACGCACGCACGCACGCACGCACACACACACACACACACACAGTGACACACACACGTATTCTAAACATTTGAACACATCTGGACATGTCATCCTGCCTCAGGAAGTAAATACATAACCAGGGCCGTCCTCCTAGACAGCACTCCCACTTCCACGTTGACTTCCACCTGCACCGTGTCGGCAAGCAGGCAACAGCGTGCCTCCACAGGATGCCCCTCCACACTAATAACTAGAATACGGGTGCGCGCGCGCGCGAGAAACTGTCGCGAATAAAATGCGTGCCCAACGTTAATTGAAATGCGATTACAGCTCGGCGATAAGAGATTCGCATGAAAACATGTGAGACGCGGGATGAGGCACACGTGAGACATGCACTGGAACATGATACATGCAGAATGAGACACATGAAATGTACAAAATGGACGATGAGACATGAGGCAGAACGAGATGTATGAGACAGACGTAGACACACAGCAAGATATGAGACACACCAGATACACAATGAGACACACAGCAAGACATATACGACTGTCAAGACAAGATGAGATATGAGACATACGAGACAGACAACGCAACACATGACACACCCAACGAGACACATGAGACACACAACGAGACACCTAGTTCCGGAAACGAGACGCACTTGACACACAACACACATACGAGACAAACGACGAGAAACATAAACGCACGACGAGATGTTTAGGACAGACAACGAGACACAAGACACACAACGAGACACATACAAGACAGACAACGAGATGCATGAGACACACAACGAGACACATACTTCCGGAAACGAGACGCACTTGACACACAACACACATACGATGATACGATACACACGACGAGAAACACGATACGTTTAGGACAGACAACGAGACACACACAACACACACAGCGAGACACATACTTCAGGAAACGAGATGCACGAGACACACAACCAGAAACATAATTCCGGAAACAAAACGCATGAGACACAGAAGACAACGAAGAGACGTTTACGTTACGTTAACGTTTACGTTTTGTCAACAAGACGAGACGTTTAGGACAGACAACGAGACACAAGGAGACACAACGACGAGACGCGTCGCCCGCGCGCGCGCGCTCACCTTGCTCAGGGGGATGACGAGGAACGCCCCGCCTCCGGCCGCCTCGGTGATGATGCCGAGGAACTTGGGATTCGCGGCGCAGAACGGAGAATCCCACGAGCTCTTTGTGACGCGGATGCCGTCGTAGCAGTCGTCGCGCTTGCCTCCCTGGCCATAGACATGACGGAACTTGCTCTGCCTCACCACGCGAAACGACATCCTGCAACTGGACGTTACGATACGTCGCGTTATGTCACGTTGCACTGTGTTACGACACGTTACACTGTGTTACGACACGTTACATCGTGTTACGACACGTTACACTGTGTTACGACACGTTACACTGTGTTACGACACGTTACACTGTGTTACGACACGTTACATCGTGTTACGACACGTTACACTGTGTTATGACACGTTACACTGTGTTATGTCATGCTACATCGTGTTACGTCGCACGACAGCCGACTGAAGTTGAGATCTCATTCACAAAGTCAGACCCAGAGCACTACACCAAGCTAATATTTTTTTACGGACACTGTGGCAGTCACTGCAAACTGTAGCAGGCACATGCCACGGCTCAAGGATAGAGAGCATGGTTGTGAGAGCAAAGCCGATGTGTTACGCTACATAGTTCTCAATCTCGCCATGCTCGCTATTCTTGTACCCATGCGACCCTATCCCTAATTCCTACACAGCTCATTGTCTCTCACCACAATTAATATGCACACATGCGTATACTGACATTAACGCTAATACCAGATTCTAAAATCGCAGTAGCCTAGTTGCTTTGCGCAAAACTTCATTTACATCATACGTTCGATTGACTGTGTGAGTGCACATGTATGTACATACTATAAGTTATAACATCATATAATTATAATGACATATTATGATCGGTGATCCGACATGTACCCTACTCTGTTGTGTTGGAACAGGATATCACGAAAATGTCTTAACGTTGCACATTGTAAACTATAACTGCGTCAAAATGTGGGGGAAAGACGAAGAATCGCTTTTTCCGCAGAGCACTCGTAAGTATTTACATAACTGTGACGATGGGTTTTCCCTACTACCCTAGGCTGTATGAAGTTTACCACTATAGTCTATTCTAGGCGTGTACAAGGTGGACCGCGAACCAAATGAAATTCTACAGTTTGGATTATACTCCACATACGTAAATAACGTGCTAATGACAATACACTACGCGCGAATACACGACACTATTTTACGTACGTTTACTCCAAAGTCTTTTCTGGTCGTCCAAGAAACGTTTTGCAAATGGAATTGAAGGTAACCGAACACAAGAGAATTTTCAGATACCGGCCGCAGCCATGATAGGCAAGTTCGTCCGGTTTCCGGTTTTCGTAAACTGCAGCGGTGACGGTTGAAGACGTTTGCTATAGCAAATTGTATTGTGCAAGCATATGCAACTTATACTGTTAGAGAAAAGAAATTCCTTCCAGTAGTTGCTGTCATTTTTTTATTGCCTCTATTCCCTATATTTTACAGTCATTACACAAATTAATAAATAAAATAGAAAAATAAAATTGATCGGCTTGGAATCGGCGGCAACATTCAATTATTTCTATCTATGTTATCATGCCCGAAATGCTACTCACTGCTGAGAGGTTCGCACTGCTGAGTAGCTATGAAAAACAAATACCGATGTCTCACTCTATTGACCCAAAGGTGCGCGCAGCTGAAACAACACCATATATAGTGTTATGTGCGCAACATGACACACGTGCACCAGTGTGTATAACGATTATATAATATCGAATGAATGAAATAACAATATTTCAAAATTGTACTTTGTGCGTGCAAGAAAGAACGTATACAGTATTTTGTTGAAATTGTACTTTTAAAATAGAGAGTAGGTAGGTGCGTGCGTGCGTGTGCGTGCGCGTGCGTGTGCGTGCGTGCGCGTGTTCATTGGTATGTTTCATTGATGTTCTCCAGCTCATGCATGTGCGCATGCGTCAGGTGCGTGCGTGATTGAGAGCGTGTGCGTTCGCTCGTTCGTCGTTGGTGACTCTGCGTGCGTGCGCGTGCGCGCGTGCGTACGCTTCGATCCGATATTCATGCATGCGTGTAGGTCATAGTCCTAAAACATCATTCGCACCAAAAACAAACGGTGTTTCTAGAAATCTTGTAGAGCATTTCATGCAGCAGTCCAAAGGTTCGCTGAAACTTTCTTCGTATATAACTGTGGGGAAACTTGCTTTGATCTATATAGCTGGCCTTATATATACTTTCTTGTATCCGCTCGGCCAACTACGTTGCTTTCATGCCGTACTAAAGTACGTCATAATTTTGTACGTAACAATTATATACCTAGCATATATTACAGGGGCGTAGCTCATATTCGTTTTGCCTGGGTGGGGGGGGGGCTCGATCGCGTGCGGGGTTGTGTCCGGAGCAGGTTACTGTGGGCAATTCGCCTTTGACCATATAACAATATCAGGAGTGAATAATAAAAGATCTATTATTATTCACTCCTGACAACATCTACATTTCTCTGGTGTGGGGTGGGGGGGGGTACTCGTTCACTGCCAGCTTGCCACTTCCTCCTCTGCTAGATACGGCCATGTATAATTAGACCAATGATATCTATTATAGATAATAGACACTTACAGACGTTTACATTATAGCATATCTACGTATTAAACAGTACAGTATAATTGACCGTAAAATTGCATCGTGCTGCCACCTAGTGTACATTATAATCAGTAATGATTAGTAACGAAGGTATTTTGAAATGTTCTAATAGCGACCGCTAAAAACGAAAAACAACAACCTATGGTATTTCAAAAGAATAAATTACATGCGTGCTAATAGATTCTGCCTTTTTTAGCACATAATATCGAGCGTAGATAGTAGCGTTGCCTTTTGGGGGCTATCCTCTCTCATATGAGTGTGTGTGTGTATACGTGCGTGCGTGCGTGCGTGCGTGCGTGCGTGCGTGCGTGCGTGTCTGTGTCTATACGTACGTACGTGCGTGCGTGTGTCTGTGTGTACGTGCGTGCGTGTGTCTGTGTCTACGTGCGTGCGTGTGTGTGTCTGTGTCTACGTGCGTGCGTGCGTCTGTGTCTACGTGCGCGCGTGTGTCTGTGTGTACGTGCGTGCGTGCGTGCTCGTGTCTGTAAGTTCGTGCGCGTGTCTGTGTGTACGTTCGTGCGCGTGCGTACGTCTGTGTCTACGTGCGTGCGTGCGTGCGTACATCTGTGTGTACGTGCGTGCGGGCGTGCGTGCGTACGTACGTCTGTGTGTGCGTGTGTACGTTTGTGTCTACGTGCGTGCGTACGTCTGTGTGTACGTGCGTGCGTGTGTGCGTGCGTGCATGCTCGTGTCTGTAAGTTCGTGCGCGTGCCTGTGTGTACGTTCGTGCGCGTGCGTGTCTGTGTGTACGTGCGTGCGTACGTCTGTGCGTACATGCGTGCGTACGTCTGTTTGTACGTGCGTGCGTACGTCTGTGTGTACGTGTGTGCGTGCGTGCGTGCGTCCGTCTGTCTATGTGCGTACGTCTGTGTGTACGTGGGTGCGTGCGTCTGTGTGTATGTACGTGCGTATGTGGGTGTGTACGCGCGTATGTGGGTGTGTACGCGCGTACGTGCGCGCGTGTCTGTGTACGTGCGTACGTGCGTACTTGCGTGCGTGTGTACGTATACGTGCGTGCGTCCGTCCGTGTGTACGTATACGTGCGTGCGTACGTGTACTTGTCGTTATGATGACTGTACGTACTATGTATTGTTTTATCCTTTTTGTAGTTAACCGTTACTTTGTACTGTAATTATATCAGTTTTCGTGGCCTGTTACCGTCATTATAAGCCTCGTCTACACGACGAACCTTAACTCGAGTTGGCGATTATGTAGCGTCTACACGACAACACCCAATAGCGATTATAATAATAATAATAATGATAATAGTAAAGCTAGACATGAAATAAAATAATATGATTATAATAGCATTAGAAAGTAAGAGAAAGATAGTCGAGGTACAAAAAGAATATAATCTTAGTACGGTTGTTGTAAATTACTGGGATATTATAATAATTGGTTTTCGACACAATTACTACAAACGGAAGAATAGGGATGCGAATATATTAATTAGCATATATGTGACATCATTAACATAATATACGACAGCATAAAGATCAACTTCATGCGATATTCACACTGATATATAAACATTTTAGAACAAATATGATAAATTATTGCACTTTAATTGGCACAATTTCGGATGAAATACTGATACACACGTACGTACGCGAGATCGCGTGCAGAGAGAGTGATATATATATATATATAATATATATAGAGAGAGAGAGAGAGAGAGAGAGAGAGAGAGAGAGAGAGAGAGAGAGAGAGAGAGAGGGGGGAGATTAAAAGAAACGCGGCCGAGAGAGAGGGGGAGGATGAAGAGGATCGATGAATGAGAGGTGAAAGGACGGTTAGAGAGGACGGGGTCATTATACTACATACAATATAACTACTCAACTCTAGTAATTGCATTTATCAGATTTTTCTCCATGAAAAAAACTGTCGTCAGTACATGTATTTGTATCTGAATTACATGCAAATAAGATTTAATAATAATAAAAATTATATTTTTTAGAGAAGGGATACAATGTCATGCTGATCATATGTGCTGATCAACTCCGTCAGGCAAACCCCCGGCAATCCCAGAAGCGGGATATATAAGTACATGGTATTACAACCTATGCCGTTCTCATACGGGTGGTGTTCGGGAGGGCAGGCAGGAGGAAGATCCGGTACAGCCCCATAAAAGTCTTGAACTCTGTATTCAATTTAATATGTTTATTAGGCAGTTGCCGTTAGTATAGCGGATGCGCCACACCCAACCCATTCACTTTACTGGATAGTGTCGCCGCCTAGTGGAGCGTACATGAAGCTTTACTTTCTACATTTTTTTGGATTTTGTAAATTTACCGATATAGTCGCATATATTAAAATACGCTACTCACACGTTCACGCATCGTAACTGTATATGGTGATTCATATCACGTTCTTTGTTAAATAATCATTCGATAAATGAACGCAGATAATTCATAATTCAACATTCTTGGGCGCAACCATTTTGGAAACGGTGATACGGTTGCTATCTCTACATCCTATCCCTGCGGACAATCGAAGTGAAACTGTCAGGGTCGTTATTTATTTGAATAGCTTAGCTAATTAGAGATGGGTAATATTCACACAGTTGGACCCAATGAAGCCCTCGTCGTTTCTGGTATGTTACTTGTCCTGTTGATCCGAATGATTTTGGATGATTGATGGGACTTTACAGTGTCCGGTTTAGGTCCTACCTACTCTACTCTAGTATTTTGGACACTCGAAGTTGTACTGTACATGTTAGATACAATAATGTAACCCAAACCCAATCCCCCTATCCTCTTGGGTTTGGGTTACATTATTGTATCTATGTACATGTATGATAATTTTCATCACCACCACCGCTAATCTTACCATAAACATAAACTATCAATCGCGGCCTAGGGATCCCAGCGTGGCTAGACTCAGCCAGAAGTACTTGTACGTTTTACTTCTGAAACCACAACATTGCATTGTATTGTAGTAATTTGTACAGTGTACAGTACAGTACTACCGCTAGGATGTACAGCATACATGTACAATGACAGTGGAACTGCAACACTAAAAACAACAACAACAACAATACTTAGGCTAGCTAGAAGTTTGTGTAATAATGTAATGTATGTTACTATGTATATTGTTTACAAAATTAACCGAGATACAAATACGGTTCCTGATCCTACTATTCCTAGTAATAATCCGACACCCCAAATTACTAACGATTTCACAATGTCTCGTGTTTCACAAAATAATTAGCTTTGTTTGGTAATTGATTCATGTTAGGCGACGGACGTAAGGATCTGTGATAGGCCATTTTCTCGAAAACACTGCCCTGTTTTTACCGGATCACTATACACACATAATTTACATTTCTTCAGTTTAATGCCGGACGCTGTTTTGCAATGCGTACGTTTGCCAAATCGAGTCGCAAAATATGTGGTTGTGTATTTTTATCCTAATCGAATCGTTGCGTATTCATCCACCAGGTGGCTGCTGCGGGGCTGATAAAAAGATCATGGTGATTGGAGGATGGGCGTGGGCGTGCTGGTTCGTCACCGACGTGCAGAGGTAACCAGGGCTCGAATTAAGCGACGAGAAGGGCAAGGCAATTTTTTTAGGGCATGTGAGAAATCGGCCTCCCTCCCTTTCTCCCCTTCCTCCCCCCCTCCTTCTATATCCTCCCCCTTCTCTCCTTCCTCCTCTCCCTCCCTCCTCCTCTCCCCTCCTCCCCCTCCTTCCTCCTCCCCCTCTCCTCCTTCCTCCCTCCCTCCCTCCTCCCTCTCTCCACCTCCCATCCT